TGTGGTTAACCTTGACTCTTGCAAAAAACGAGCGCCAAAGCATAAATAGCTTAAAAGTAATGGTCAATTACGCATAGGCTCTTGAAAACTGTGTTCGGCCACCTTAAAGCATTTTGGGGATTCTTTGTTGTGGATCCTTCCATAACGTGCCCCCGATGGTATTTTCTTTTACCGAGTTTCTACTCCTCGATCAGTACAACTTTACCTCTCTCTTCTCTGAGTGTAACCTCACAGAGTTCTCGACAGAACATGTCCCAATCCACAGCCTTGTGTGATCCGAGTCCGAGTTGCTGTTTAATTTGCCATTGGTCAAGTCCTTGGCAGTACCAGTAGGTAAACTTAATCACCTCCCCCACTGACAAGTTAGAATTCTCGAACCAGCTGCCTTCTCTTACGCTTCTTTCTACTCGAAATCTGTTTGCGGCTTTCCCATCAAAACCATCCGATCGATCTTTACATTCAACCCAGTTCTTGCTTGATTGACATATATCACTAACACGACTCGTTGCAATCAGTCCTTCATCCTTTAACCAACGTAGAGTATATACTCTTTAACCCATAACTATTTCTCTTCAAGTTCATCATTAGTCATAACTTTGGCGTTTTTGTTCCGTCCACAACAGCCTCGAGACTCCGAACACTGAATACCAACATCTTTCCGCAAAAGGGCAGCCCAGCCCACCTGCACCTCAGCCATTCGCTTTCGACCGACCAATGACTGCTAACAGACTTTACACGAGTCTTTCAGCCAATACCATCACGGCTTAACTGACCAATCACTTTCAACGGACCAGCCTTGTAACAACACTATTCACTTGACTCTGAAGGCGACTTCCGCTCAGGTTGTCGAAACGTCAGTCACCAACAACAGTTCTTTAAAGAACTACCCTCACCCGGAAGATCACACAAGACAAACTACTGATACTCCTGGGTTCAGACCATTTACTACGTCCCCCGCTAACACATGTTTTTCTGCTGCAATCTGCTTCGTGTCCACCAGCTTTTTATTTAACGATAACGATAACGATAACGATAACAGTAACAGTAACAGTAACAGTGACAGTAACAGTAATAGTAATAGCAATAGTAATAGTAATAATAACCAGAAGATCTTTTAGATCTTATAACCGCGCTTTTAAAATTTAACTGTTCGCTTAGCACTACCGTCGGAATGTAGTGCACATTTCAAAGCAGTCATTGATGATTCTTTTCTTACTGTAGA